CGAGGGAAAATCACAGTTTAGGGTAAAACGGTAAGAAAATACAATAAATAAATAAAAATTGAAAAAAGACATTAATTTTTTTTTTCTTTTCCGTTCAATTAATTTGAGAAGTTAAAGTGAAAAGTGAAATTTGAGAAGATTCTGAACTTCTGACCGACCTCTCGATTTAGAGCTTCATTGAAACTTTTTACCGTCTCAATTATTGGTTACGCATAGGTTCATAAATTATCGTCATAGGTAATAATTGCAATCCTGAATGAAATTTTATCCTGGTTACGCATAGGTTCATAAATTATCGTCATAGGTAATAATTGCAATCCTGAATGAAATTTTATCCTTATTTGCAGGAACTACGAACACCTCCAAACATTTCCGGGGCCTTCGAGTCTATCATATGATTTCTACCATCTTTTTTTTCTAATAAGATTCGAATATAAACATCTCGGGCCTATATCAATAAATACTATGAAGCAAAGTATCGTTATCGTCTCCGTTCTCCCCTCAAATGGTGGTTGGAAGGGGTAAAAGATTGAACTTTTCCCTAATAAATTTGAGTCAATAATATCACAATAATGTAAGAAAGCTACCACTAGAGAGGAGGTTGAGATATTGAAATATGATGTCAATAAACAACTCATACAGATTGATGAACAGATTTCTTCAAGAACTCCCTATCATTTCATTACAAAAGCTGATCTAAGAAACAAAGCCTTCTAAAAATCAATGAAATTTAGACAGATTTTTAACCCCACAAAAGAAAGAAGTTTACAATTCTTCAATATTATGGGTAACTGATATATATATATATATACATACATACATATATATAAATATACCAAATCCATACCATTTTCAACACTATTATACTTGAACTCATGATAACCATCAATCAACCCCTATAAATTCAAGCATTTCCATGGTTATCAAGAAGAAGATGATACCTTCACAGCTTTGAATGCAGGGTGAAGCAACCCGAGTTCATCCTTCACTTCTAATGGATTGCTTGTATCGTTCCGAACCCGCTTTACTCTCCTGCTTGCTAGTGACTTATGTGTAAAGCCATAGATTTGTAGAATCTGATT